AGTGCCCCCAGGTAAGTAAACAGACGACCGCCATAACCTTACGGAACAGAACATTGAAGCCATCGCCTGCCTCCCCTCCCCAACCAAAGGTCCGGTTTTCCTTCAAAACCTTCCACCCAGCCCTCTGTTGGCAGAACCCAGGGCAGTGGGTCCTCCCCGGACAGCAAAGCCCTCTCCGCGTGTGCCAGCAGGATGAAATGTCTCTGGGAGAGCAGGTCACAGGTGACGACCCCACATGAGTTCAGTCGGGTACCTACCTGGGACTTAAAGCCACCGGGGAGACACCTGAGTTCTCCGAGCATACGCACAGCTAAGCAGATTCCTCCTGGAGCACGGAGCCCTCACGGCAGCGGCACCGTGGGAAAGCCCGCGGACACCCTCCCTCTCGATTCTGCAGCCACCCAAGGAGGGCTCCTGGGCACTTGACCGCCTTAAATTGCAAAGACAGCGTGCGTTCGCCACACCTGGAAATCGAAGCTGGTTCTTTTCCCTGGCATTCAAACGGACTTTTCACACAGGGCTTGGGCTTTTCTCTCAGCCTGAGTTGGCACAAGAGAAGCTGGAAAGGGAGGGGCAGGACAGAGGGAAAGAGGGGAACAAAATGCACCCTCAACCTGGGGGCGGGGAGCTTGATAATCAGGCCCAGTGGAGAACAAGCTGATCGGGAGGTTGGGGCGCCGTGGGAGGGATTCAGCTTTGTTCTTCCTCAATAAGCCCCATGGAATGATGTTAATTGTTACTTTAGGTGTGTGGGGTGTAGACAATTTGTAAGGTAGGAGAAGAGTCCTTTGGCTGTGACCAGAGCTAGCATAATGGGGCTGTAAAGACTAGAACTCTTGAGTTTCTTAAACTCCGTGAAGCCATCAAATACCTTCCCTGCAAATTGGCACTTGCAGCTCAAGCCTTCACGTCTTTGTTGTGCAGTAGGGGTAATAATCACCCGCACTGCAAGAAAGGCACGCCGGCTGGCGGGGACGTTGGCTGCACAAAGCATTCTTTGGTTAAAAAAAAAAAAATCATGCAATAAAAAAGAAAACTGTTTAAGCTTAAAAAGTAAAAAGAAGCAGTTGGCTCCAGTTGTTGAAATGTTTTATAAAGCAACAGCAAGATTAAAAAAAATAAAAAATAAACTGTCCCAGAATGCTGAGAGAGGGCCAAAAATATTAATATGCAGGAACACGGCAAACCTTCCGCAAGCTGCAAATATTTCCTTCGTCCCCCACGTCCAATCAGGAAGGATGGCTGTCCCTTTTCTCTCTCCGCTCTTCCTGTGTGAAATCTATGCTGAATAACACGTTTTCTGGAAGAATAAAACTCAAGTAGTAGGCGGAGAAAATCATGTCCGTCAGAGGTCCGTGAATGTCTTGTTTCAAATATCATAGGGAGGAGGCTTCCACCCCCAGAACCAGGAGAAGAGAGGAAGGATATCCATGAAACAAATTAAAACCCCACCACGGGAAATAAAAAATAAACAGGATTTCCTACATGCAAATGTACTCATTTGCTGAATATGGTATGCATACGAGCGAAGAAATTCACTGAGGGAAGGATGGTCAGATATGATGCAGGACGCCCAGCAAGATTTAATTTCAGAGAAACAACACGTAATTTGTTGGCCTAAGTATGGGCTGGTGTAAGTGTGCTCGGGGACGTTCAGATTTCGCCGGACATCCTGTATTGGCTGAACCTGGCAATCCTACTGACCTGGTGGGCCATGCTGGTGGCCGTGCTGATTGAAGACTGATCGTTCGCACCCTGATAGGACAGGGAGCCCGGGCTCTGGCTGAAGTGAGTCCCGCGCCCATGGCTCAGGAAGGTTGTTCGGGAGGCCCAGGCGGGGGGCCGCTCAGGACCTCACACCATCTGGGCCCTCTGTCAGCTTCAGCTGCCTGAAAGCAGTTTCAGGTGGAGGCACAGCAGGGCCAGAAACTTCCTCGCAAGACCACTCCTCACCTCGGAAAAGCCAGAGCTGGGCTTCTTCCCGACTATTATTTGCTGCTTAGATTGGACACTTGCGGCCAAGCCCAGCCACCTGAAAATCATCCAGAGAGAGAAGGGCGTCGTGACGGGTCCAAAGAGAGCAGAGGACCAGGGCATGTGGACGCCCCATCCTCCTGCAGGCCCTGCCCCTGGGGAGGAAGGACTGCCCCCCCAAACCCAGTGTTCATGCTCAGACGGGAGGCTTTCAAGTTTGCTTCAAATCCTCTCTCACCCACCAAGTGTTGGAGCCAGTTTTCCCTTCCGCAAAACGGCCACGAAGGAATCCCTCTTCCAAGAAATTAGAGAATGTCGGCAGGCACCCAGCCAGGGCCCGGCGAAGGCCGATGCCATGATGGTTCTGAGGCCTCAGGATGGCCCAGGGAGCCACCCCAGGTGAGTGCTCTCTTGCCTCTCGGGAAAGAAGGAATCCTGCCGTCCAGGCCAGGCCAGCAGCGATCCACAGCCTCTCCTTCAAAACTGACATCCTCAAGGAGCAAACCCCAGTTCCGCTCGAAGCCCCATTTCCATCTCCCCACACCGTCCCCCAAACCTTCTGTGTCTCGAGCTGAGACAGCCGACAGGCTACCCCTCGGGCGACACTCTCCATTGCTGGTGAGCGCCAACAGCTCCGACACCACGTGGAGCTTTTTATGTTTGCTCCCCCCCACCACCTCCCCAGCCTCCTAAGATCCCCACAAGTTCATTTGACAGATGAGGACACCGGCTCAGAGAGGTTAGCCAACTTGCCCAAGGTCCCCAAGATGGGACACAGCAGAGCAAGGCTTGAGGCTACATCCAGTCCCAAAGCTTGTGCTTTCAACCTCAAGACTCTCCCAGTTTCTCATCCTGCCCCCCCCCCTGGTGCCCCCTGTAGGTATCTCTGAGGAGAGTGGGCAGGACCAGAGAACTCTCCCTCATCCTTCCAAGCCCAAGTCACTCCTCACCCGCTCTGTGCCTCCCTGCCTCCGCCAGGGGCATGCTCTCCATCTCCGCATCCTACTCTTACTCCATCTACCGCTACAAAATGAGGCCCTATCACCTCGTCCACATCCATGTCCCTACTCCACGGACTGCCCAGAAGGCATCGTGCTTGCTTTTCCATTTCTGTACCCATCCCACTTTCCAGGGGCACCTCCAGCTGCAGCGGCCTCCTTAGTGTTCTCTGGACACCCCAGGCCCGTTCCAGCTCAGGATCTGAACTTCCCTCCTCCCTGGAACCTTGCAGGCCCCCCTCCCTCATCCAAGCTGTGCTCAAATGACCCATCCCTGGAGAGGTCTTTCCAGACCACCCACTCACACTAGTTCCTTCCATGCCGTTCAACCTTGAGCCTCCTTCCTGGTGTCACCTGCTTTGTGGCATGTATCTCTCCCTGGCATGAGCATGTGTGTGCATTTGTTCACTTGCTTCCTTGTCTATCTTCCCTCCAGACACGCCGCCCCTCCCCCAGGGTGGGGGCAATGACTTAGCCGGTATCCCTCCTTCCTGGATCCCCAGGCACATCAGGGGTGCTCAGCAAACATTTATGGAATGAATGAACCCTCAGTGCTCAGCATATATAGACAGTCAGTAAATGAATTTATTCTTAATTAATCATTTTAACAGAATCATCTTGGAAGATTCCCAAGGGGGAAGCAGTCTTTGCCCCTCCTGCATGAGGGACCCTCCTCTCCCCGGCCATCCACTATTCACATTTCTTTCCAGGTCACTGACCCACTGTTGGGAGAATGGCAACCTCACAGAAAAGGCCAGAAAGAAAACCCTGGACCCACCTGGACACCTGTCCATCCTGTCCCAAACTGGCCATCCCACCAGCTTGCTCAGCCATGGGCATAGTGTGTTCTGTATTCATGAATCAACCTGTCCGCTCTCCTTCCAGCCCCTGCCTGTCCCCTCACTATTTTGGCTGAGTGGACAAAAGTGACCACCCCAATTTGGGGCCTTTACCCAGCACCTCCAACAGCCAAGAGAAGCATCACATGCCTTGGGTGTGGGGAGCATTGTTATAAGAAAATACAGCCTCCAAATAGCCCCATAAAGGCCCAAATCTGTTGACAAGGGAGGAAGGAGGTCAGGGAAAGGGAGGTAGGGAGACATGCCAGGGAGAATCACGGACACCTGTGCCCTCTCCGAGTGGCCTTGGTCATTATCTGGGAGATGACCCATTGGTCAGCAGAAGCATGCTGCCTCCCCTCACTCAGTCCCAGGAGGCTCTGCACACATGCGGATCTCATGGCTGCTCAGGCAGAAAAATGTCCCCCTGCCCCGTGCTGTCCATCCACTCAGTCAGTAGACCCATTTTCCAGTTCCAGGCCTAGGACAATGTGCAATGGTGGAAGCCTTTGGGTCAATAAGTCAGTCAACAAACGACTGAGCGCCCCAGTTTTGAGGGGTCGGTGTTGATGGGCAGGAAGGAGTGTGTGGCTGTGGGGTCTGCAGGCCATCTTATCGGTGAGTTTCACTGGGGGATTGTTCTAAAGAGTGAATGCCAACAGACAGGCATGCATGTGTTCTCCCAAAGCCACGGACAGGAATACTCAGAGCAGCACCGCGGTGGCCAAAATCTCGGGCCCCAAACCGGCGGCGGCAGGATGGAATCCTCCTCGGGAGTGGAGACGAACGGTGATTATTTCCTAATCCAGGCGGTGGCCGCAGGGGTGTGTTCTCTGTGACAGAACTCATGAAGCTTGGTACACCTCGGATGGTACACGTGTCCGTTTGCACACTTGTCTCACATGTAGGCCTAAATTTTAAAGGGACCGGGGTGTTAGGCGTTGAGGTTTCCCCGGGGTCTCCCGCACAGGAGGGGGGCTACTGCCTCGGGGGCCAGGCAGGTGGGCAGGGAGGAGGGCGAGGGGGCTCGGAGGCGGGCAGCAGGCGCACGGACGCCGCCCCACCTGGCGCCAGGTGCAGCGAGGCCTCCGCCTCCGCGTCCCGCGTTGCTGGGCAACCGGTCTCCCTGGCGACGCGAGACGCTGAGCCCGGGGCTGGTGCGGGCGGGCGCCCCTGAGACCTGAGCCCCATGGCGCAGAAACCTCTCAGCACCGCTGCGGCCGAGCGCATGAACCTCGTGGCCCAGGACGAGATCTGGTAATGTCCAGGATCCGGTCCCCCATGGGCTGGGCCCTCCCCACCTCAAGTGCACGCACCTGGCGGCCTCCGTTTCCCCTCCAAGTCCTGCAGGTGGTCGACCTCTGGGCGCGAGGACCGTGCGCTGGAGGTGGTCGGGGCAATGAGCTCAACCAGAAAGCCTTTCTTCCTTTTCTCTCAGGCACACCACTGAAGATGAAAGATATTACATCTGGCTTTACAACCATCTGCAGAGCTTTGCTTGTTGAGAGCCAACATGTTATTTTTAAGATTTACCGAAATGTATAAAAAGGAAAACAAAAATCTTAATATTTGTTCAATTTGAACGAGAGATAAATATGCTCTTTACATGCTCTCTTGAGTCTCCTGCTTTTTTAAATAGTAAGAAATTTTAACTTAAATCCTTTTTCTAAAAGATTTATGAAAAAATCCGTTTTCTAAAAGATTTATGTTGAGCAGACATTTGTAATGGATGTTTTTATTTGGCATTCTATTGAATTGCTAAATACACCATCTCTTTGAGGTTTTAACCAATATGGGAAGTTACTAATTTAGATGCAAGTAAGTAAAGTTTAGTAACAATAAAGCATAACAGCTTACCTCTTAAACTGAGTTATCCTATTTGCCATCTCTCAGATTTTTGCCATTTCCTTGTAAAACCTGTGTTAATCTCTTCATATTTTTCTTTAAACTGGCTTTGTTTCACTCAGATTTATTTTTATAGGAAACTTTATATCACTCTTGTCAATGGAAAGCCAGTATCATTTGGCATAAAATACACAACTATTAATTTTTGTAATCTTTGTCTTTATCTAAGTACCTCCTACTTGGCTCCTACAAAATCACCATAGCAGGTATGTTCTGCCCATTTAAAATGCCCCTTCCTCCCTTCTTCACCAGATGACTCCTATGCATCCTTCAAGACCCAATCATATGGCCCCTCCTATATGAAGAGAGCTGGTTCAACCCTTAGACTGTTCTTCTGTCCCATGTCCAAAGTGGCTATTGAGCCCTTAAAATATGACTGGTCCAAATTGGAATGAGCTGTAAATGTGAAATACATACAAGATTTCAAAGATTTCACACCCCCAAAAAGTAATATTAAAAATTAACTTCACCTGCTTACTTTCACTTTTTTTTTTTTTTTAGTGTGGCCGTTAGAAAATTGTTAATTATGTACGTGGCTCATATTTGAGGCTCACATTACATCTCCATTAGACTAGACTCTGCTTTAGATGCTCAGTGCCCAGGGCAAAAAGCTTGTTCAGGGGGGCCTCCAAAACTGTTGAGACACTGGGGGATGGGGGTGGGGGGCAGATATTGATTCCAAAATAGGAAGAGAAACTTGAAAATCAAAATGAACAAATGTTGAATTAGATGTTTGCAAAATGTGGCACACCAGCTCTCAACTAGTAGGTCATTGTATATAAATGATATTTAATGTGGAGCAAAAGCAGGGCCAGGATTAGGGCGGGATAGTGGAGCCCCTGGTGGGCAATATTTAAGGAAGGCTCCTTCTCAAGTTCATGCAAGTGAAGGCTCTGCACTTGCAGGAACCTGGAAGGAAGCAGCCCCTTAAATTTTGTGCCCCAGAAGCCTCACTCTCCCCACCTCACTCACCATACCAAAATGAGGAATCTCATCCCTAGATGGCCCCTCAGGCAGAGCCGGCCTCCAGTCCTGTCTTCTCCCCAATGTGCCACCCAACCAGGACCTCTGGTTCTTTCGACACCTGCCTCCCTCACGGTCCCCAGCGACAGGGACTCTAGCTTATTCTGTCACCCAGCTCCCTTCCTGGCACGGAGTCATCATTCAGTCAATGTGCATTAAAAAAATGTAAAATGTTCCCCAGTGGATCCTTTTAGGGTTTGCTACTTTCACCTTTTTCAAATACCGTCCAGCACTTAGGAACTTTCTTTTTCAGGAAATACCGCCTAAAGGCTGAAACTGAAGCACGGCAAAACTGGGCCCAGAACTGGGGATTTTTAACAACCCCTCTCGAGGAGGTAAGTATAAATTTGATGAGCCCAGAAGTGATAGAATTGATTATTTCAAGGAGTAAACGAGAAGGAAGCATACACTCCACAAGAATAAAGTTCGTGTTGCATACGAAGACCGCTAACTCTGAAACCTTTCTTTCATGAATTTATTGAGCACCTACTATGTGCCAGGTATCCTCCAGGTGCTGCATCTGAACCAGCTCATTTAATCCACACAAGGACCCTTGCGCAGAGGAGGGTGCTGTTTTATGCCCATTTTGTAAATTAGGAAATTGAGCTCAGAGAATTGCGAAGTCATACAGCTAACAAAAGGAGGCACCAAGGAGAGAAGCTGGTCTGTCTGATTCCAGAGCCTCTTGGCCTCAGACTGCCCATCTGTAAAAGGGATGAGAGTCCTCAGCTGCCTCCCTGGGCGATGGGGAAGTCCAGATGGGATGAGAAGTAGAAGCCAGGTGGATATACGAGGGATTACTGGGAAGATACTCTCGGTATTTTCCTAAGCCAGCTAGGTAACAAGAACAGGGAAAAGGTGTAATCAATAGGGAGTGGTAGGGATGTCCGCAGAAACCCCCGGCCCCATGCAGGGGGAGCCCCCCTTAGCCCAGCCGAGGGCTGAGCTTGCAGAGAGGATAACTCCATATTCCCATTGTTCAAGAGAGTCCAGAAATGCACATGTTTAAATGAGATCTGAGTCTAGAAGAGTGGCTCAGATGTATAAAACACCGTACAGATACCAAATGCCTATATGGGCTTCAGTGGGATGGTGGCCAGCAGACTACAGCCTTTCAAACCACCTCCAGGACAGGACACCCAGAAGCCACATTTCTTTGGGGGATGCAGAACCACGTGAGAATCCCATAATTCAAAACATTCATGATTCAAGGCAGTGTAACCCCATTTGTAATTCACCCCATCCCGCTAGCTTTGAAATTATGCCATTCTTAATGAGTTTTTTTAATACTTACAGAGTTATACAACTTGAAATGTTATGCATAAAATGAGTCCTTATTAATATAAAATGCATAAAAAGTCTATATTAATATTCCTTATATGTAATTAAATTGTAATTTCAAAGAGTTCGAAATTGTTTTAAAAATTAAAAGGGGAGTGGGGGCTCTCCTCTAATATTTTAAAGATTGGCCCTGAAACCTCGTTGGCAATTATTTATTTGAGTCTGTAACCTGTGAAGTTTTCTCAAATTATGACTCGGGAGTATAAATTAGCAGGTTGCCAAAGGTGGTAGGGGACACGGCGGTTGATCGCTGTATCCAGAGGCTGAGCGGCCCGAAGAGCCAGTCCCCGAACGGCCCCTAACTGTGTAATTGCACCACGCTCCCGAACGTTTCTCAGCGCGGCTTTGGTCTTCTGCAAAATGCGGCGTCCTGGGGGGACAATGCAGGGAAGGCTCCCACTAACCTCAGTCTGACGCTTCCCATCTCTGGGGATTATGTTGCAGTTGCTCAAGGGTGAAGAAAACCCCCCCACCCCAAAGCCCAAAATCGAGCTTCCCGAGCAGTTCCGCATCCGGCCCGTGACCCCAGTGGAGAAATACATCAAGGTTTGCAAAGTCATTTCAAATACTTGTTTTCCTAAGTAAGAAATAAGTGTGTTCACTCCAGGAGCACAAAGCCAACCACCAAAGGTAAGAACATAGTGGCAGCCGGCAGGTGGGAGGCCAGTTTCCACACCCTTCCTGAGCCCACAGGTAAGGAGCACATCGGGTTACTGGTCTCGACACAGGCAGGAGCCACAGCGTTCAGCCCTGCAGAAGCAGAGGGAAGCCAGGAGAATGAAGGGGTTGGTCCAGTCATTCAGCAGATATTTACAGGGACTGGGCGGGTAAAGGCCCAGGCTCTGGAGTCAGACCATTGAGACCCAAATCCTGCTCGACTGCTCACCTTCTGTGTGGTCTTGCACATGACTCGATCGCTCCATGTCTCCTTTTCCCCTGTATGGTGGCGGCTCACGAAAGCACCTACGTCAGCGAGTGGCGTCAGGGTTCCGTGGGATAATGCCTGTGAAGGATCTGGAATGTTACCTGGCACTTTTAGAGAGCTCTAGGGACGGCTAGCTGTAAGTAGGCACCAGGTGCTGGGTTGGGTAAACAGTGGCAAACAAGAAGAGGAGACTCCAGCCCACAAGTCTGGTTTGGGGGGTGGGGAATTAGGGGGAGGCCACCGTGAAACAAGAAATTCAACAAAATTGGGGGTGTTTTTTTTAAGATTTTATTTATTTATTTTAGAGAGAGAGCACGTGTGTGTGCACGAGAGAGAGAGAGAGCACGAGTGGGGGAGTCAGAGGGAGAGGGAGAAGTAGACTCCCCGCTCAGCAGAGAGCCCAACATGGGACTTGATCCCAGGACCCCAGGATCATGACCTGAGCCAAAAGCAGATGCTTCACCAACTGAGCCACCCAGGTGCCCCCCAACAAAATTGCTATTTGCTATGCTAGATGCCATGGAGAAAAGAGACAGGTGAGGTTTTGGAGGGTAACAGGGGATGGGGGATCCAGCCCTGGAAAGGCTTTCCAGCCAAAGGGAGGAGCATGTACAAAGGCCCTGAGGCAGAACAATTTTGGTATATTTCAGGAACAACAAGGGATGCCGTGAGGCTGGAATATAGTGAGCTGGGGGTGGGTCAGAGTGGGAAGGGAAGTGAGGTGGATGGAGAAGTGGGCACAGCCAGATCCCACTGGACCTCAGGGGCCAGAGGAAGGAGTTGAGCCCAGTCTGCAATGGGAAACAGAGCGGTGGCATGGTGAGGACTGCCTTTTTGAAAGATCCTTGTGGTTGCGGAGTGAGCGACGGTCAATCCCAGAGGGGAGAAGACTTAGATGGTCTTTCCACCTGAGACCAGTCAGCCGTGGACATGGGTCAGATGCCTCTAGAACCTGCCGAGCTGGGTATATCCCCAGGCCTCCCTTCATGGGTCCATCATTTTGGTCCTGGATTTTGCCCTCTGCCAGGCTACGGAGAAAGCAGCTCTGTGTCCTGATGCAAGAAGGGATGTAAACTCACACGGAAGGCAGCCAGGGGTGGGAGGAGTCAGGCTCTATGAATTTTCTTTTCCTGATGCTCTCGGGGTCAGACAGAGCAGCAGGTACAAGGTGAGTGCTCAGTGGGTGAGTGCTCAGTGGTGAGTGCTCAGCGGGTGTGCGTCTGATGGCTGAATGAATGAATACACTCCAGTGAGATATGTTGAAGTGTTTTCCCCCTGATTATCCAGCAATATAGATTCACTGATATTTTAGGAATACAACAAAATAATAAAATAAGGAGCGCCTGGGTGGCTCAGTCGGTTAAGTGTCTGCCTTCAGCTCAGTTCATGATCCCAGGGCCCTGGGATTGAGCCCCACATCAGGCTTCCTGCTCGACGGGGAACCTGCTTCTCCCTCTCCCTCTGCTGCTCCCCCTGCTTGTGCTCTCTTGCTCTCTCTGTCAAATAAATAAATAAAATATTTAAAAATAATAATAATAATAATAAATTAAAATATCCATATATACCCTGACCGTGGTTAGCATTTTGGGGAGCTCCTTCTGGATGTTTCGCTATGCCTCCACCACCCCCCAAAAATTGCTAGTTCTTCTTATTGTGTCTTGGCTGCTCGCCATACTCAGTACTTTACATGGTCCTCTTATTTTCACCACAACCCTAGAAGGTAGGCATAATCACCGCCAAACCCATTTCATCCTTGGGGAAACTGAAGCAGAGGGCCTGGGGGGACAAGGACCTTGATCCAGGTGAGAAAAGCACTTGGCCCATTTCCTTCTGAACGTCCTTCCTTGCTGAAGAAACGGTCCCCTTCTTCCTCCTTCCCATCCCTTCTTTGGGTGGCTAGAACCTTTTAAAATCTATTTATTTTTAACAGGTGTCCTATACCCCAAAATGCATGCCCTGAAAAGCCTCTTTCCTCTTCTGACTCTCAGTTTCCCAGGCACCCTTCCAGAGACCAGATAGGCACATGCAAGCACGTTGTGTGGATCTTTAGTCTTTTTTCCCTTGTTGCACTAATTATGCCATATTTTATCTATTTTATGCACCTTTTTTTCTCTTAGCGGTTTATGTTCAACATGTCCCGTCTCAGAACATACAGGCCAGCCTCACCGTGTTAGACTGTCGTGTAGTATTCTCTTGTAGTCCATCGTGCGCCACTGAGCGAGTCCCCTGCAGGTGACCTGCAGGCTGTGTCCAGTGATTTGCTATTACCCCAGGGCTGCAGTGAACCCCCACACCAACACTGGTGTGCATGCGCACAGATATGAGAATGTCTTAGGACAAGTGCCTAGGAGTACATTTCAGGTCAAAGGATGTTTGCATTTTCATTTTTGGTAGATAGTTTCTCTGGTCACCCTTCACAGACAATGAACCCACTTGTTCTCCTGCAATGCCCTTGTTAACGGCGGTGTTTTCATCTCTCTGCCAACCTGGTGGATGAAAGGTGGCATTCCAGGGTGGTTTTCGATTGCATCTTCCTTACAAGTTGGAGGTGGACTTGAAAGCTAGTCTGTGTGTCCCAAGGGCCCGTCTGGACAGGCAAGGAAGAGCAGGCCCCTCCAGCGTCCGTTAATGACCTTCCCTGAATGTGGCCTCTCAGGAGATTAATTTTAGCACTTCATCGAGAACATACATTTGGGGGCCTTGTGCGCAGGGGCAGCCAGCCCGCCAGGACCACCCTCACCCCTCCCCCCGCCACCACCACCACCTCCTCGAGCACAGATCCCTTGAGCTGAGCACCGAACGCATAACCCCACGCATCTGAAACCGCTCTGTCTCAGTTCTCCTGTTAGAACAAATATTCCTCATGTTGTCGTCATTCAAATCACCCTGTAAAAGCAGAACAGAACATCATTTCAAATGGAAGGGGAGAAACAGCCTAAACATTTGCCCTCATTTTCCAAATATTTCAAGTCTGTCCAAGGAATTGACAAATGAAACTGTGTTTTTTTCATCTCAGACAGAACCTCATTTCCCTTTGGTTTTTAATTAAATTCCATTGCTTTTCATTCCCATGGTCCCCACAGTCTGGGGTGTGCGTGGGTGTGTATACACACACATATCATAAAGCCTTCCCATCAAAACCGGCAGATTTATAAGTGCCAGGATACCATCTGACAATATTGTTCTATATTTTATAAAGAGTGGTGTGAACTGTAGTATTTGATATTTCTACACCTTACTCTTTTTTCCCTTTTTGCTCTTTTGTCAAATGAAAATTATTTTACTGAAGGTTGTGAATTAACGTGTTAAGCATGACCAGATAAAGAAACACATTCGGTGTTCATGACTTTTGCAGGGAGAAGTGAGTCTCAGGGTCCAGGCGATTGGAGCGTGGTTACCTTGGGCGCACCTTGATCAGGGATATTTTCTTTCCTGTCTTTTCCCCATCAGGTCTCCCATGCCGATCCTGATGCCTCCATGGACAAGCCTCATGTCACTGTGGCCCCAGGTGGCTAAACCCCATGCCTTTCCATTCCAGATCCTTCCATCCCCCCCAATCCCGAAGACGACCCAGGGCTTCATCGGCTGGAGATCCGGGGTGCCTGGCCTGAACAAGTGTCTGGAGCACGATTATGAGATCAGAAGCTGCAAGGGGGCATATGCCAAAGAGCTAGGCTGGCCGAAGCAAGGCATCCACTGAGTCCAGACAGACTGCAGGCCCTGGGCAAGAGCGGGTTGACCCGACCACCAGGCACCCAGTGTCCATGCCCAGGAAGGGGGGCACTCCCCCAGCAGATGGGGTTCCCCTCCACATTTGCTCAGTGGATGTTGCAAAGAACATGAAATAGCCCTTTGACTTTTTCAGTTCATCAGCCCTCCCTTCCAGAACATTCTCATCACACACTCATTCTTGGTTAATGTAATGAATAAGGCAAAATAGATGCTCTGATTTTTTTTTTTTTTATACTTTGGGAATTCTAAGTATGGCTTTTTAAAAAACAACGTGATTTTATTTTAAAAACAAAATTTTGTCTAGGTCTTTAATATTGCTTTCGATCCTGTACCTCTCACCACCTGTTTATGAGATTGTAGACCAGGAGTCTCTGCACCCAGACATTCCTGGGCCTGCTTTTCAGGAGGAACAGAGCACTTCAAGGATGCCTCAATTCTCCTTTCCCAGGATATTTGCAGTAAGTCAATAGCTTTAAAGGCAGAAATGAGCCCAAGATTTGCCACTGAGTATGGATTTCCAGGAGAGGATGGGTCTCCCAGGCTCTGTTAAAACCTGCCCCCCCCCCTTACCTGCCCTGTCGCAGCACAGATGGCCGCCAAGCTGGGCCATTTTCCTTCCGCCGTAGACATTTGACACTAACCCTGAGGTTTTGTTCCAGGTCCTACAAATGAGGGACAGACAAGAGGGTGGAAACTGGAGCATCCACTGGAGAGAGTGCCAGGGGGGAAAGCCCGCATGCCCATAGGCCCCTCCATCCAGACTAAGGAGCAAGAAAGCAGAGAGTTTGCTAGAAGCTGTGAAAGCTGGTTTGTGTAGGTTTCTCAGTAGCAGAGCTCGATGTCTTCTTCAGACCCACGGGCTGGGTTCCTTCCTGTGTTTGCTTGACTGGGGCCCAGGGGGACTTCTGTAGGGTGCAATCCACCCACAAAGCCCATCCACCCAAACTTTTCCTATTCACCTTCCTATCCAGGTGTGGATAGATGTGCTTTACAATCCAAGAATCCCTCATCTAGAACCTTCCCCCAACCCTGAGCACTGCCCTCTCTAGCAGGCTTCTACATGGATTCCATGATGTTGAGGGCACAAGATACCAGGGGGACAGAAATCCTACTGAATCTGGGCTATCCCCTGCAAGGGGGGCTCAGAGCCTCTAAATCCTAGAAGCCCCCTGCAGAAGAGCCCCTCGTGTTCAGAGATGTTATTCTCTGTAAAGTCTGCAGAACGTGATTTGAGTGAGCAGCCTTCTTACTGCACCGTGCTGGCTGCAGATGCCTTCAAAGCAGGCTACTCAGGTACGAAGAACGGAGCCACGTAGCAAAACTTACGCCCGGCCACCTAGTTGGCTCTCTGTTCCCCCACAGCCCTCCTCCAACCCAGGTTTCCCCTGGAAGAGCCAGAACACAAGAGAAGCAGCCACCTCAGGAAGCCTTGTTAGTCCCTCTGAGCAGGGCGCCCACACTAAGCACCTGCCACAGGGGCCACCACGGCCACCAAGAAATCCTACAGTCATCATGGCTCAGATCCCACCTGCCACCTACAGACCACACATTTGAAGGAGAAATGTCACAGCTCTTTAGTTTCTGAGAAAAAGAGAAGCAAGGTATTAGGGGTTGAATTGTGTCCCCCCCCCCGCCCCAGAAAAGATATGTCGAGTCCTAACTTCCTGTACCTGTGAATGTGACCCAAAATAGAAATAGGGTCATTGCAGATGTAATAAGTTGAATTGAAATGCGGTCATCCTGGAGGAGGGTGGGCCCTTAATCCAATATGATTGGTGGCCTTATAGGAAGAGGAGACGGATGACCATGTGAAGAACAAACACGCAGGGAAAGAGGCCACCAGGTAACAGGGACAGAAACTGGAGTAACGTGTCTACAAACCAAGAAGGGCAAGGATTGCTGGCAAACCACGAGAAGCCAGGAAGAGGCAAAGAAGAGTTCTATCCTACGTGTGTCAGAGGGAGCACAGCCCTGCTGACACCGTGACTGTGGACTTCCAGACTCTTCTGTTCCTCTAAGGTACCCGGTTGGGTCCTTTGGTGTGCAGGCCAGGAGATGAGAACAGTACAGAGCACATGGTGCCCCCTCCCCTCCTCGCCTGCCCAGAAAACACCCTCCTCCGAGCGTATGTCTCTCTCACTGGTCTTGACCCAGGCCGTGTCTCCATGAGAATGAGTCACGTGGCCCATTCAACTCTGAAGATGTTTCCAGTCACCCAGATGTTTAGCCTGGTGTAGACTAAACAACGCGATGCTTGGCCAAGCCCATTCCTTTGCAAACCTAATGTTTTGGCATCTTGGTGATCACTGCAGGCAACGCATCTGCTCTTGAAGAAACCCAGGTCGTTTATTGGGATCAGATGCCACGACCATGGCTGAGCGGAGCAATCACCCGGCCCACCAGGATCGCGGCTCTGTCTGACTGCCAGGCAGGAGGCAGCAAACACCTGTGGGCTGGGATGAGCTGCCGAGGCCACGTGTTGCCTTACGTTCTAATTCCTCCTCATAAAGCGAATCTGAGAGTCATCTTCCATTGTGTGCACGCCCATAATTGTTTGGCAGCAAAAAAGACGGGCTCCCTTGACCTGTCTTGACTCCTGCAGGCATCCCGACCACACCTGGACAGGGATTCACCACGCCCGATCCGACTCCTCTGAAACTTGCTGGTGTGACTTTAATTCTGATTTTAACCGGCTGGTCTATGTCGACTGGCAGCCTGACTTTAGCGAGACCGGTTAGCCGATACTGTCGACAGAAAATGCCCCGGGCGGAGCTGAGCAGGCGAACCCCCCACATGGACAGTCGAACCTCCAGACAGACCAGAAGTCAGGGCTGGAAAGGTTTTCAAGGCTGGCCTGCCTCTCACGTCCCCTGGGGACTAGTGGAAGCAACGGGCACATCCCTACCCATGTCACATCCGCCCGACTCCAGTTTCTCGGAGGAAGAAACATCTGAGAGATCAACCCTTGTGCACGGTGGATGGGAATGCCCACTGGTGCAGCCACTGTGGAAACAGTGTGGAGGTACCTCGAAATTTAAAAATAGAACTGCCGTATGACCCAGCAACCCCACTTCTGACGATAAAGCCAAGGGAAACAAAATCTCCATCTCAGAGATATCTGCACCCCCATGTTGATTGTAGTATACATTATAATATCCGAGATGTGGAAACATCCTAAGTGTCCATCATCAGATGAAAGGATAAAGAAGATGTGATGTGTACTTATATACGCCATTTGCAACAACATGGATGGACCTTGAGGGCATCACGCTAAGTGACATAAGTCAGAGGAAGACAAATACTGTAGGATCTCAATTCTATGTGGAATCTAAAGGAACTAAACTCATTGAAACAGAGAACAGATTGGTGGTTGTCAGGGAGAGAATGGGTAAAGGGAGTCAAAACATATAAACTTCCGGTTATAAAATAAATACATTATGGGGATGTCATGTACAGCACAGTGACTAGAAGTTCTAAAAATTTCTTTTAAAAAAGAGGGAGAGGGCGCCTGGGTGGCTCAGTTGGTTAAGCGACTGCCTTCGGCTCAGGTCATGATCCTGGAGTCCCGGGATCGAGTCCCGCATCGGGCTCCCTGCTCGGCAGGGAGTCTGCTTCTGCCTCTGACCCTCCCCCCTCTCATGTGCTCTCTCTCTCTCATTCTCTCTGTCTCAAATAAATAAATAAAATATTTAAAAAAAAAAAAAAAAGAGGGAGGGGGCGTCTGGGTGGCTTAGTCGTTAAGCATCTGCCTTCGGCTCAGGTCATGATCCCGGGGTCCTGGGATCGAGTCCCGCATCAGGCTCCCTGCTCTGCAGGAAGCCTGCTTCTCCCTCTCCCGCTCCCCCTGCTTGTGTTCCCTCTCTTGCTGCGTCTCTCTCTGTCAAATAAATAAATAAATAAATAATCTGAAAAAGAGGGAGAGACTCAAAGTCTGAAGACGCACACACTCTGGACAATGAGAACACAAAGACATTTCCATTTCTAGGGAACTATTTGATGCTTTTTGTTACTCCTTAATTTAAGTGAAGCTTTACTGCAAGTTTATGGACATGTGTTTAATGCCCCTTAAATTACTTCTACTTAACGTATCCAAGTACAAATTCTTCTTCATCCTTTTCACGTATCAGTACACAGACAGGTTGGGGCACCTGGGTGGCTCAGTCGTTGGGTGTCTGCCTTCGGCTTGGGTCATGATCCTGGGGTCCCAGGATCGAGCCCCGCCTTGGGCTCCCTGCTCGGCCAGAAGCCTGCTCCTCCCTCTCCCACTCTCCCTGCTTGTGTTCCTGCTCTTGCTACCTCTCTCTCTGTCAAATAAATAAATAAAATCTTAAAAGAAAAATACACAGCTTTTATAAACGAACAACACCTTGAAAACCTCGGTTGGTGGGTTTTTCTCTGCCTCCAATAATTTATTTACCAACTAACCACATGTGTGTTTTATTTTAAGGAGTAAAAAGGGGCAATATTTCAGTGGGTATCAGACTCCACTGGCCTGACCCTCCCCACTCCCACCGCGCCCCCTGGCCTCTGTCTGACCTAAGCAATTGGGGCTGCTCTTGTGGGTTCATCCCACAGCACAAATGTTCAGTCAACAGCCCCATTTGAGAATCTAAGTGGACAACGCTCCACAATTCAATTACCCTGGACGGTTTCAAACTTGACATTTAATCTATGGAAATCAACTCTCTGTGGGTGTCCAAATGGGCTCATAAATGTCACCACACACTGTAAAATACCACAACATTTCCAAGGTCAAGGCGAGGCTGGTGAACTTGTGTCCACAGTGCTGGAATACATCACAGCAATGAACCTCCAGATGGGCCTCGGTCTAACTGAGTGGCCTCTGAAGGATGCAAAACATAACTGGGCTGGGGACTCAGAATGGATTCTGTCACAAGCATATCTCAGTCCAAGACAAATTAGCAACTCCAACGTTTGAGTTACAAGAGAATTGCATGATCAAATAAAATAGGACTACTAGGAAACACGGCTCTTGTTGTTACACGTTCAAGTACACCTGAGTATAACGACCCCTGTGCGCGGGGCTTCCAGGTCCATAGCCTGGGACCAAAGCCTGTTTGAGAATTTAGGACTTTGTGGATTTCAGGTAATGCATATACTGTGTATCACATAACCCCTCTGGCAAGGCCTGGGGCAGCTCCACAAAATTAAACCCATGAATATTTTTGTAGCAAAACTTAGGAATATTCACACCTGGGTGGCTCAGGCGGTGAAGCACCCAACTCTTGGTTTTGGCTCAGGTCATGATCTCGGGGTCCTGGGATCGAGCCCCACCTCGGGCTCCACATTTAGCGGAGAGTCTGCTTGTCCCTCTCCCTCTGCTCCTCCCCATGCTC